GTATTCTGATAAATAAAAATCAGAATTTTTACCTAGCATTGATTGAATAAATTACTGTCATCACAAGTGAAAATTCTAAACTACAGATGATTAGTTTGCTATTGCATTCTTTAATTTTTGTGATGCATTACCATAAAAATTAATAAAATTAAAATATTAATGTATACTTGTTAGTTTGATTTTAAAAGTAAAAGCATGGATGCATGTCTTTAGTATATATATATATATTTAAAATTTTGATCTGATTATGTTACATTGTTAGGAATTGTCAGTAGGGCCAACTCGCACACTTGCGTAGGCTGGAACTAAGCAGTTGGGTTGTCATTCTTTCATTAAACTTTGTCATGTTAAAGGAATCAGTAATCCTTCATTAAATGCTGCAAAGTAGGGTTGAAATTTATGTATTATTTTTTAGAATAATTATTTTTTATTAATTAACTTTTATTATTATTAATTGAATTAATAATTATTATTATGATTGAACTCAACCCCCTTGTTTCTTTTATTTTTTGACAACCCTACTTTTTCTTATTTATAGAAATTTTTTTATTTACTTGTTTCCATACTTTTTATTCAATTTGTTAATTATTGTTATATTTATATCAGTATTATGTTTATTGATATTAATTAACTAGGTTTAAAAATCCATTACAGAATATTTTAATAAAACTTCTGCAATATATTAATTTTTGGCTACTTGTGCATACACAAAATAAACATACCACATCTAGAAACTTGAAAATTTGAAATAATAATGAAATTCATAGCTAATAACTAATTATTTATGTGACGTAATATCCTGTTTTGGTTAATAATCTTTAATAACCATGCCTGATTTCCCGCTCAACTGCACTTTGTCAAGTTTGTCACTGAGCAGTACAGTCCTTACTTTAAAGTTTAGACCTTAGTCAATTTGCAATCAGGCATCAGACTACTTTTCAATATCTGTTATTCGTACTTTGCAAGCAAAAAGTCAGTTTATCCAACCTCTAGCTTATACACTATAATACTTGTATGTATCTTTTTCATAGTATGAGTAGGTCACCAAGCCCAGATCCAGATAGGAGAGAGGAAGATCCCATTCTGCCTCCTGGAGGAGATCCGGCAATCCCTCCTGGAGGAGCTCCAGCAATCCCTCCTGGAGGAGCTCCGGCAATCCCTCCTGGAGGGGCTCCAGCAATCCCTCCTGGAGGAGCTCCGGCAATCCCTCCTGGAGGGGCTCCGCCAGTCCCTCTTGGAGGTGCACCCGTAGTCCCTCCTGGAGCGGCTCTGGGAGTCCCTCTTGGAGGTGCACCCGTTGTCCCTCCTGGAGGGGCTCCAGCAGTCCCTCCTGCAGGTGCACCTGTAGTCCCTCCTGCAGGGGCTCCAGCAGTCCCTCCTGCCCCAGCACTGCCTTTGCTGCACCAGCAAAGGCAGCTCATTATTGCCCAATTGAGGGCTGTCAATAGACAAATTGTAAGTCTTTACTATGATGTACTAAATTATATTCCACAATAGTATCTCAATCTACCAAGAAGACCTGGCAGGGGCAGGGGTAGGGGAAGGAGGCCAAGACCCCAAGTTGGAACAAAAAATTATAACTTTTATTAACTACATGTATCATAACTTTATTATAATAATAGATGTAGACATAATAATAAAATAATCAAAATGTCAATAAAAAATGCACCAGCGTTAAGCCAAGATTAAAATACATTAGCAATACACAGTGTTTGACAAGACAAAAATGCTCCAATGCTTTAGTTTCTATTAATATTCCTAGAAGAAAAATACACAT